ATTGTCTAATACTTATGCCGGTTGTAAACAACCTATCAGCCGTTGCAGCTAGATGGTCCGTTTGCTGCTGCTGGTGGTGATGATTGGTGTTGGTGGGTCGGCACGATGATGGCTTGACGACCGGATGGATTACCGGGGTGAACTAAAGCTGGATGGCAACTCCAAGGGGCTCGGCCCATGGAATTCCACTTCCTCTGTTGCACACTGGTCACTTGGGGCACCCAATGGGGGGGGGGGGTGAAAAAACCGCTCGGGCGGAAAAAAACACCGAAAAAAACTAGATGCCGCGCGACTGAGACCGGGACGTTGTTAACCGACTGAGTGTTCAACTAGGAATGTAGATCGAGTTGATGCATGCTTGGTTCGTTCGATTGTTAAATTGCTGAATCGGTCGCCAACCCATAGTCTTTATGTCATTCTGGAAGAAGCTTCGTGCGCACAGTGGTCTAAAACAAAAAAAGGATCGTTTGAGATATGAGGGAAAAACTTTATTTTGTGGTGTCTTCTTCAAAGGTCTTTGAGTTGATTGAAACTGAAAGATTTAACTTTTGACGCTATTCGTTTTTGATTACCCCTACAAGTTAGATGGAAATGTTTTTTTTTTAAATGACAATATAATGCATTGGTGTCTTGAGCGAAGTTGTAGAACATATTATTACTAGAAAGTTTGCTAACTTTCTATGTGCTCGTTTAAGTTACTTAAATCGTATTTTTGTGTGGTTGTTATACAATTTTTGTGTGTCATATTATATGATATGCAAAAAGCAGCAATACACAATTTTGTAGAATATAGTATTTCTCTATTCTTACTTATTTCTAAAATATATCGCTTTTTTAACTAAATTTTTTTTCACGCGCATTGAATTGAAACAGTGTAAAGTTTAGTGGCTTAGGGCTCCGGCTGAAAACACTTCCAAGTCTTGATTTCAGTGCAAAATGAAAATAATTTCAAATTTATTTCTATTACCGTGCCAGCACCATATTTGACGCGTTACTATTGATGAGCCATTCGTCTATTTTTGATCGCATTTAGATTTTAACAAGACATTTAAAAAAAAACTTTGTTACACTATCATCCCTAGAACACAGGAACTAATGCCGCAGATACACTTGTATGACCTACTATAAGCATAAACATTATTTCTACAATAATTATGAGCAACTACTATACACAAACTATACAAGTGTTACCATGGATGCACTCATAATTTATTATACAGATAATGCTCATGCTCATAGTTTGTCATCCACGTGTATCCGCGGCATAATATTTGCAGAAATAACATTTCAAAAATAATAATTGAAAATAGTCGAATATTATTGCGTGCGTCGATTTAGGAATAGCTTCGAATATGGTGCCTCCACGGTAACACTGGTAACACCATAGAGGTAACTCTAAGACAGGAAGGCCCCGAAGAAACGTGCTCAACTTTTTGACTCAGCTCTGGTACTATCTTCGGTCCCAAGCTAATCGATGCACCCCTCGAAACATAGGAAAATCCACGAGCCCCTCATTTTATCAGTCCACCTTTCATAGCGAATCAAAACAAACATAGTGTAGTACTAGAATTTCGACTGGAATGGGGTACGTTAATCGATTTGCTTGGGACCAATAGGCTAGTCAAGTAGTGAGCCAATTTAAAGCCGTTACTTTCCACCGGTTGGTAACACTTTATATTCCATTCGAATTCCCCTCACTAATTATGACAACGGAATGTCAAACTACATGTGACTTCTATTTTTGCCATATAACTACTTTTTTAATGGGCTACAGCCCAGTTAACGAACGCCCAGTTAAAAAGCAGCTCAGCTAAAGAACGCCCAGTTAGCAATCAAGTACTGTATACACTTCGGCCTATCGGATGAAGATAAAAATTGATTCGATCGGAGCGCTTCTTTTGTTTTTGAGAATAATCGGTGCAAACATTCATATCACGCGTTCTTATTGACTTCGTTTGGTATGAACAGCTTTGAGTGGGTTGGTTTATTTCCTTTAAATTCCGTTATAATTGCTTATCTTTTGATAGATACGCGTATTTCGTCTACTACTTGCAGACTTCATCAGTGCCAAGTACTCAACACCACCGTTTGGTAGTTTTTGAACTAAAGTATCGTGCCAAACACATAATTTACTTGTTAACGCCGAAATCTGCTACTCCAGCCAACGCTAGGACATTAGGTACGATGATCCGGTAACGAGGAGGTGGAACTATAGTCGCTATATTCGGAATAGTTCACTATAGGCGGAACGACTGGAAGACGGGTATGAATACGACGAGAGGTATACGACACGATTACCAAGAACATCTAATTCTTGACTTTGACGAATCTAGGCATTTCTCTCGACATAACTATTGTAGATATCTGAAAATATTTAAAAATACTTCAGAAATACGTAAAACATACCTAGCGATAGTTCAGTTGTTTATTTTTCCAACGTCAGGGATTTTGTGTGGATTTTTATGAACATACGATATTAACATTAATTCAATTAACAGTATTCACTGCACGCCACCGTATCCAGTGTGACCCAGTCCCAGAAGGAGGCATGGCCTTTGGAACCTATCGACCATTGATCGTTTAAGTTTATAGTTCAAATGACATGTCTGGAAATTACTTTCGTGTTATAATTATACTTTTGAGCCGTTAGGATCTTGATCGTGTGATAATGGCAGAGGGCATTTTAGCTGATGGGAGTTGAATCGGAAGGTAAAAGAGTTTTAAAATCATTCGATTCGCATCATACTTGTGGTATCTTGAGATACGAGTCTCGTAGGTTCGTTCTGTAACTACATTTTCAAGAGTTTCGTCCCATACGATTTCATAAAGGTCACCTATTTAATCAGGGTTTCGTCTCTTTCGTGTCTATTTAGTCTGGCGGTCAAGTATACTCTGGAGGTGGATCAGATAGTTGTCATAACCACGTTTCAACAAAGATATTTCGCCATTGAAATTTTTAAACTTGAAATATTTATGTTTGCAACAATAGAAAGTTTGCATTTTACATTTTCAAGTAGAAAACATTTCGTAGTAGGTAGTAAAAACAATTGTTTAACAATTTCAGTAATAGTGCAACATAATCAATAATGAAGAACTCAAAATTACTCTTTTCAAAAATGTTGGTTATGGTTAGACTTAATAATCCGAAAACTAATTTTTAATATTCATTTTTAGTTATTCTTTTCATATTTTTATTAATCATAAAACTATAGTTTTCGTATACAAGTTATTATTCCTACAATCATGTCTAAAATTGTAACTTTATGGGCTCATATTAACGGATAGGTCTGCATTTAAAAATAAAAGAAATCTTTGTTTATGAAATATTCCAGCAAACAATTTGAGTGGATTAAAAGCTTTGTTTTATTATATTTTTACCTGAATAAGCTCATATTCAGCTTTTATTGTTTGTTAAGATTTTTCTAGAAGCTGTCCATAAACAAAATAGAAAGTTTTCGAAAGATTTTAGATCCTTCTACCCTGTCAACAACAAAAATATGTTTGTTTTTAAAAGAGATTTCTTGTTGATTCAATCATCATGAGTAGAAATAAAAATATGTTTATTGATTCAAAAATTCGAAGTGATTTGAGATTTTGGCGTAATGCTTTTGAAAACAAACACGTCAATTACTGATTTCTCTTGAATAAACGCTCAATCTCACAAACAAACTATACCAAATGATAGAGGAATCATTCCTCTACCTCATAGTGTTATTAATTTTCTAGATTGAGCTTTTATTCGCGAGAAATCGGTGATTGACGTGTTTGTTTACAAATGCAATTACGCCCAAATCTCACATCACTCCGGAAATAATATGGTAATTTTTTTTATGTTTTGTTTTCTTTTTCACTGATCATCCTTCGGAAGGGAAGTAAAGCCGTTGGTCCCCGGTTAATTAGTTGATGGGTCGATATGTAGGGTCCAGGTGTGGGAGCTGCTTTCCTGGCGTCGGGAGCATTGGTACTCAGTACGGAAAACACGATCGACGGAAAAAAAATCAAGGAAAAAACAGAAAATTGATTATATTTAGCAACTGCAGCTCGAACTTCAGCATACTTACTTACCTCAAGTCTCAAGATTTTCGGAAATTTTGCACTTATTTCCCGAAATTCACAAGTTTAGTTATTGTTTACATTTTTGTCCGGGTGAAAACAAGGGAATGGTTGGTAGTTATTTTTGCATTCATGGTCCGGGGAATGGACACAGCAAATAAATGCTAAATTAAAATTAACTATTGTTGGCTTAATAATAGAATATTGTTATTTTTACAATAGTTGCAGTTGAAAAGTGGCTTATTAAAACAAAACAGAATCCTATTTTGAATTTATATGAATATGTATTATTGAAACAACAAAATGCAATATAATTTCAACCGGAATTGTTTGTTTAAATACAACTAAAGTTTTTTTTGGTTCAATGCAAACAATTTTCTGTCCGTGTAGGAGCGAAATAAGATTGTATTACCAACAATCAATACGAAACTAACGATTTTAAATTGGCTCACTGCTTGACTAGCCTATTGGTCCCAAGCAAATCGATTAACGTACCCCATTCTTGTATAAATTCCAGTACTACACTATGTTTGTTTTGATTCGCTATGAAATTTTGACAGATAAAATGAGGGGTTATCGGTTTTTCCTATATTTCAAGGGGTGAATCGATTAGCTTGGGACCGAAAAAAGTACCAGAGCTGAGCCAAAAAGTTGAGCACGTTATTTCGGGACCTTCTAGTCTTAGAGTTACCTCTATGGTATTACGTAACAAAAGCGCTGTACCACTACCTGATAAATAAATGTGGGTTGTAACTTAAAACTTGAAGTAGCGTTTATAACATGTTATAATTCTCCAGTCTGGCCAGTGTTTAATGGCTTGTTCGCACTGCAGCCTTTCTAGCATGTAATAATTATCATCAAAATAGCCATATTGCATGTTATAACTCTTTAGTCTAAACATAGCATAAGGGCATAAGACTTAAATATAATCAAAAGATTACTTACAGATCTTGCACCAGATGCTGTTATACCTGACTATCCGGATCTTTGCGCTGGTTTCCTGAATGCAGCGGCACGTCATATTTCACAGCGAACACAACGAGCGATACGGTTTTGTGAAAAAGAGCAACTAGTACAGCCGAATGATGCAAGATTCCTCGTAGTCTCGGGAGGAGTTGCCAGTAACGATACTATTTTCAAAACCGTTGCTAACATGGCAAAGACTTTTGGTTTCGAAACAGTTAGACCTAAAAGACAACACTGTACTGATAATGGCATCATGATAGCTTGGAACGGCATTGAGAAAGTGCTTGTGGAACAGGATGTCACCATGGATTATGCATCAGTGGACATTGTGGGTAAAACGAAGTTGGGAATGTCATTAATTGAAAAAGTGAAAAGCGCAAATATACCTAGCAAATTTTAGACCAAATCTTTGTTGTTTCTCCATTCCGAAATGTGTATAAATCTTAATATTGGCCGACCTTAAGGTGATTCCTTGTAGAGTCTACAAATGGCCGCAGCGGTACCATCATAGAGGAAACACCGTGGTAATGCAGACGCGTTCAGAAATGCCCGTGTTGTACACGTCTTTGCCGCGCTTTCTTACGTGTGCATCAACTGATTTGAAAACCGATACTGTTACAAGTGAATCTTTCTTTATGAAATAATTAGTAAAATTCTTCACTGAATACTGATGAACACGTTTATTCTTCCTTCCTTTTCTCGTGACCTGTCGTAATCCTATTCTCCTATTTCTAATCCTGGTCCTTTCTCACAACTCTCACATTTTATCCGTACTCATACAGTCTACAATTGAGACAATCTCACAGAGGCAGCAGATATTACACAGCTCCCGCGGAACTTAGCCAACCGCTCGAGTATACATGCAGTGCCTTTGGATTGTTCCATCGTTTTCTGGCCCACCGCTCTAGAACACATGGGTTCCTTTCGACGGTGTAGGATCCCGAAGCGTCGATAATACGCGATGATTCCTCGCTGAATGACACACTTAGAAACTCTTTTCTCGAACTGTCGGATCATCTGAGCTCGACGCGTCTAGATTTGACTGGCCCACATTTATATGGGGGACTTTTTTATCATTTTGACGTAGAACTACGTCTTTGTCGACTATACTGGGGTACAAATCAAAAAATATGTGTTGTAAAATAGTGTTAGGCTTTGAACGCTTGTAACTTTGTCATTTATAAATAAAATTAAAATCCATATACGCCAATCGATAGGATATTACTTGAAGAATCTGTTGAAATAAATGCTTTTCCAATTTTTATTCAAAAAACTTTTGAAAAATGCGCAAATGATAATTTTATCATTGTTTTTATGAACTAAACGTTTTTCTCAAACCCAGTCATCATAAACGAGTACCACTTGCTTGCACATCATTCTGCTTGAGCCTGAAAAGATATAAAACAGCGCTGCTTTTCTGCCTCTGCTCATTACCGCTTCGGACGACGTGGCACTAGGACAAAATTAAAAAAAAAATGCTTAAAACGAGACATATATTCGATGAATTACCAACAACTAACTGTAAAACATATCTGGTACCTCTATATATGCAATGAGATTAACATCCAAAGTCCACCATTTTTTACATATTCTGCACAAAATAAACTTTCTGCCCACCCCATTCATAAAAAAACGGCGGAAAATCCTGTCAGGTGCGGTTGCACATCGTTCTGCTTAAACCTGAAAAGAAATAAAACAACGCTGCTGCCGTGCCTCTGCTCATTACCGCTTCGGACGGCGTGGCACTTGGTCATGCAGCGGATGAAGGTGGATCACGGCGTGATCATCTGTCACATAATGAGAAATGAGACTTGAATATGCAAAATATCCCTCTATATATTACCGTCTATAACGTCAACTCAAAAAAGACATGGATTTGCCGATCACTTTTTTCCGGGAATAAATTTTAAGTAAACTACAATTGTAAGTAAAAACAAAAGCCAAATTTTTTAAAACAATTGCTTAAGATGAGACATACATCCGATGATATTATGTTGGTAAATTACCAACAACTGACTGTAAAACATATCTGGTACTTCTATATATGCAATTAGATTAACATACAAACACAGACAAACAGACATAACACATTGAATAATTCTCACTGTAAAACATGGTCGCTAAAACATTACCGCCATCTGTTGAGCACACTGTGCTGGGTAGTACGCTGAACAGATGGCGGTAGTGTGTAAACGTCATACGCAAGGGAATTGACTATGCGCGCCGCAGGTGGCGGTACTACCAATTACGATACTTTTATATTGTCCGTTAAATGCTTGTTCGATGAACAACTTGCTAGTGTTATGTCTGTTTGTCTGTGATACAAAGTCCATCCTTTTTTCCATATTCTGCACAAAAGATACGTTCTGCCCTGCCCCATTCATTATAATAAGTAAAATAGTCAAAAATGCATGACAAACATCAATTTTGCGTGGTTCTACGTCATAATGCGTTTGTGTCTAGGACACAACCCTTTAATTTTTACAAACGGGCCAACCCCTGGATTTGTGATATTAGGTGAGAAAACCACTCTCTGAAAATTACAGCTCATTCGGATGTAACACGAGCTGGCGCTTTTGATTTAAAATTTATATGGGGATATTGGTTGAAATGTATGGAGAAATAATATTTCACTGGTTCAGCAAACTCGATTAGGCTCACAATTTCAGCACACGTTACTTAAACTATAAGGAACAACTTTGCTGAAGACAGCATCACGATTCAAGTTAGTATTATGGAGATATTAATCAATTCAGTGCCAACATTTCAAAGGGGCGAGTGGAGAGGTAAGATTTCATTCGCGAGAAATTGGCGGCTAAAGCCATTGTTTACAAAAGCAATTACGCCCCTTTTAAATGTTGGCACTGAATTATGTACCTACATTCTGCTCCTTTTTTTGTCAATTACTTTATGTGTACAGGCTCAATCGAATAAACTTTACGAAATAGCCAAACAGTTATAATTGTAATTGTATTTATATAAAACACTAATCGCACGACACCAACGCGAAATAATAGCAACAACAAAATAAATACGAACTGGAAAACGAAATTTTAGTATACACTGGCCGAATATCACTCCGATAATCACGAAAATTTCAATCGTAACAATGTATACATTTCGATTAACCATTAAATGCATACAATTTAATCTTTTGTAATATTTTGAGCGTACGTGCGTCATGTGACTTTTTTCTAGATCTCTCGAGCCTCTGATATTCCTAAAAGTACGCTTTTCTGAAATAAGCCAGGAAACGCAGTTTTAAAAACTAGGGAACACTTAATTCCTTTCTATGATATTTATTTGAACATTAATCTTTACACACATTTTGTGATCGAAAAATTTTTGGGGTAGTCAAGCAACACAGAGTTTTTATTTTCACACTTATATATCTCGTGGAACATTTGAAAAGCACCTCTCAACTTTTGTAAACAAAACTTGTTAGGTCCTTCCCGCAACTGAGTTTCAAACTAAAAATCAAACTGAACAAAAAATCAATAAATACAGTAACAATACAATAATTAACTTATTCACAGATTTGAGCTGTGAAAATACATTTTGGTTGAAAACCCAAAAAGTTGTTAAGAAGTCGATAATAATGAAGTAATGAAACATGTTGGCTAAAAAAAAGTGATATACGAATTGCTCTTTATAATATATACGTTCTACAATCTGACTCAAATGTCAACATTATCATCCGTCTAGACGAAACTTTGTGGAAATTTACCTGCTCAGGATTTCGAGAAACCAAGGCACAGTGAGGATGTCCATAGTCGGTCGGAATTATTTTCCTAACATATTAGGGTTGAAATGTGTTTGGCCTATCATATAACAAGTATTCAGTGAAAATTTATAGTCTTAAAATAATTCCATTAGACTGGTCCAAAAACTTACAATAGTCAAATAATTTTCTGTTTAAATAACCAAAATCTGTCTTCAAAGTTCTTATTTCATTAAGGCCGACATTACATTCATTTCCCCTATTATATGTATTTAGTATTTCCTTTTTAATTAGGTAAATCTATCCATCTATCTATCTGAATTTCTGTCTGTCTGTCTGACCCTTATAGACTCGGAAACTACTGAACCGATCGGTGTGAATATTTGTATGCAGTGGTTTTTGGGGCAGGGAAAGGTTCTTATGATGGTTCGAGACCCCTCCCCCTCTGTAAAGGGGGGCTCCCATACAAATGACACAGAAATTTCTGCATAACTCGAGAACTAATCAAGCAAATGGAACCAAATTTGGCATGTGCAGGTCATAGGGGGTAGCCCCTTAGATAAGTGGGGGTTACAATATATCATGCTTTTTTATTGGCGCATAAACTCAAGCTAATATTGAATCCCGAGCATGGCCGGGCACACTCAGCTAGTGATATTATAAAAGTTAAAAAGGCAATTATGTGCTGTTATCTTAATAATAAATTGTGTATATGAGTGTATATATGAAACATCTGTGAATTTTTCGAGAATAATGGGATACCAACAGAAATCACAAAAGATAACAAGCTTGCCCACATTTATGCAGAACTCTAATTGGCCAGTATACGCCAATGGAGGATGAGAAAAAAATCTATCAAGAGAATAAATAGGTTTTCATTGATACGCAATGATTCGCGTTCAAGTTGCAGCACATTAAACCTATGAAATGGATATCGCAACATTAAAAAATAAACAAAATAGGTTGTAGTAGGAAATATATTATTCTTTATACTGCCTATAATCGCATCAGTCCCATATGAAAAAAGTAGGTATTGAGAAAATGGCCGTGAAATTTCCTAGCAAGAATTTTAAAAATCCTAAAAAAGCTAAAATCAGTTGCAATTAGGCTTGCTTGTTTTGTTATATCAGTGAAAAATATGGCAATTCGAAAAGCTGAACTTTAACTTGAACTATGGGCGATTAAATTTCAGGATGGTACTGATATGCGATTATTTTGCTTGACTTGATGTTGTTTTCATATGTTTCATGATCATAGCCCGTAATTTTATCACATATAATATGAAAGTAAATGCCAATTTATAGGGGATAGCGTTGTTATCTCAAAATTGACGAAAATCCATATGGCACTGATATGCAATTATAGGCAGTATAGTCCAACTAAACATGTTGATAGTCACGGTTGGTTCTCATTATTGATTTTATTACATCATGATTATGACAAAATAAGTTAAAACACTAATGTCGTGGATACACTTGTATGACCAACTATGAGCATGAGCATTATTATTTGTATACTAAATTATGAGCACATGTATGGTCACACATGTATAGTTTTTGGATTTGCTCATATTTGATTATACAAATAATGCTCATGTTCATAGATTGCCATGCAAGTGTATCCGCGGCAAAATGGTTCTGAATTGCAACACAATAAAGTTGTTAAGATGCAACCAAAAATTAGATTTTAAATTCAAAAAATTTCAAATTTACCTTTAAATTACCAGCGCACTATTCAATCGATAGTAATGAAACTTTGGAGAATGATTCCATGGAGAATATACTTTTCTAATTTGAAGCAAAACATGAAAATAGGTCACATAAATAAATCGAATTACGACCGACCTGCACCCCACTGTGCAACGTAGACTCCTGCGCTGAAAATAATCCCATAGAATTGTTTTTCGCTCAGGCTCATGATATGATATTTTTGTAATATGTAGTGATTTATTACATTCAAAATAATCAAACTTTATTTTGATTGGCCTGTGCTTTTAAAAATCCAAGGGATTATTTTTATCGCAGGTGTCTACTTTAGTGTACATGACCATGTGGGGAAAGGGTTGAACTGGATCAAATTTCAGCTCAGTAGGTAGTGTTAACTACCCCATTTCCGGCCTGTTATCACAACTCGTACTTAGTCTTTCTTAATCTAGCGCAGTTTAGCATCAAACGGAATGTTATTATTATTGATGGCTTAAAAATTTATTTACCCTTCCGTATGTACCGTAAGATTTGATAAAGAGAAACCAATCGTTGAGATATTGTCAAAAGTCTAACACTGCTTCTTGACGCCAAACTCGGCCTACGGATTCTTAACTCGGCCTAACGCATTGAAACGCCAATGAATTCACTTCGGCCTATGGGATGAAGATAACAATTGATTCGGTCGGAGCCCTTTTTTTGTTTTTGGGAATAATGGATGCAAACCTTCATATCACGCGTTCTCATTGACTTCGTTCCGTAGCTTATTAACTAAAGTATCGTACCAATCGAATCTTATCGTTCCAATCGTATCGATTTATTTGAAGTTTTCTGCTCGATAGGCCCAAAATGGGCGATTAGGCCGAAGTAGTTCTCTACCCTACTATAGCCTACGGCAAAACGTTAATGGAGACATGGTGCATTCTTTTCTATTCCACTGCATTCTAATACTCTCTTGTTTGATTTGAAATTTTCAACTCATTTTATTAATGTATGTCGCAGTTGCATATCTCTCATAGTTTATTTGCATGATGCTTTTCGCTTTTGTCTTGCACCATGTAGTGGTAAATTCTTGCTATTTTGTTGGTGAATTTTTATTTTTAGTTACCCATTGTTAATTAGTATAGGTTGTTGTACACATTTAATAATCTTTTCAAACATATTTTACTGTTTATTTTCATTTGTCTGTTTATGATTCATTATCCATACACTTACAACAGTATTTAAGTATATTACTAGCGATAATATGTCCAACATATTGATGTAATCAGTAGGTGGTGGAGAGTTTCCTGAAGATGGTGTAAATTGGCTAATCGCACGAACATAAACGAATAAGGGATAGTATTGCAGCATTTGCTTACATAATTTCGTTGTTGTTTCTGTTAATTCTGTTTCTCGATAAAGCATAGTTTTGGGTCTCGGTGGTCACTATTACGATGCTTACAGTTTGATAACATAGGGATAATGAACAGTTGGTGATAATTTGTGCACGTGCATACTTGACGCTCAACACCTTTAGCAATAGATTGTTTAAATAGATTTACATCACAACGATAACACTTGTACGGTTAACAACAATTTGTAGGTGGACAACAATTTATTCGTGACATTCCGTACATGTGTATCTAGGATGAGTATTTGCATGTGTTTATTTCTTGCAAATAGAATGAAGATGTATCCAGTCAAATATTTAGCTGATAATCAGAATGCTCAGGGGGTAAATAGGACGTTCCAGTAACTTCCAATAACATGCCTTTCTTAGGACTCTTATTTGTTTAATATGTAAATATCAACTATCTTAGTAATATTGTCATCATACGATATTTTAATGCTTTTAATTGAGATTGAATTGATTGATAGCACTATGTTACGTTTCTTTCCAATTGTTTAAATCATTGCTAAGAGTTAATTCCAACAAATTAAGGGCTAAGATTTGCAACATGTATTTTGCCGATGATTTGGATAAAGAAGCGTTGGATAAATAAATGCTGAGAATAACATTTTCCCTGCTCATCAATTCAAACTCGTTAACTGTAATATAATACTCTAACAACATTTAGTTAATAATAGTGTATATTGTATCATAATTATTCAAATTTTTATCAGTTAATTGATTTGATATAAGCCGACTTCTTCTCATGTCCCATATGTGGCTGCAGCTATTTATTTGTTCAGCACAGAATTGTTCCTTCGCTATTTCATACTAATTTTTATGGTAATATCACTAAATTAGTTCGTGCAATTAACTACTTTCCTAAACGTGAGGTGAGAATATCAGTACAATCAGTTTATTCTGCTTTCAATAATTTTACCATTACTTTGACTGTTGAAAGGAAGCTGACAATGTACCTATGTGTGTGGTGCAATTTTTTTTTGTACGCAGCACATAACCATGTTGGGCTGAGTCGTATTTAGTACAATCTCGCATCTGGGTACGAATAGGTACAACCTAGGTCCGAATTATTGACTTTAAATGAACGAATTTTTTTCCGGTTTTCAAAATATTGTCTACATAAATAGATTGTAAATTTTGCGTTAAATAAAGCTTAAACAACATGGGGAAATAATATCTTAACGCAAACTGTCTATAGACAAAATGTTCATAATTGTACAGGGCCACATACACGATTAACACGATTCCATAGACTTTTCTGAATACCCAAGTGCAACCAACTATGATGGGTCGCTCCTAGCATAAGTGCAGTAAGCCGTGTACATATGATTGTTCTTGCAGTTATGCTTGGAGCCACCACTTGGACATTCAGAGAAGGCTATAGAGCCAAACCACAAAGTGGGGCAAATCTAGAGGAACATGTCAAAAGGTCCTATTTGCATTGATCGATTCACCCCAATAGAATTCATCCATTACCGAATTTCGGCTACAAATGGTGAACAAACAATCTAGAAGATGCACGGTACAAAGCTCTGGGCATCACAAGTCCCTACCTCACGCCTCCTCGAGCCATACGATTACAAAAGACCAGTAGCAGCAACAGAACAAGGTGCAACGCGAATACGGACTAGTACAGCGATAGAGGAAATGCTTTACCAACCCCAGAGTCTGTTCATCGTGGAGGTGCGGCTCAAACAGTGTCTGAGAAGTATCCAACGATTAAGACAAGAAATGCTCATCCCCGGAAGCTACACGTGAGCTGGCAGTTCCATCACGGCGGATAGGAGGCATTAGGTTAAGCTTCTACTGTCTGTCTGTTACAGAAACCAACAGGTAAAGATTTACAAATTTTGGTAATACGCTTGCCACTTGGACCGGGGACCAACAGCTTTTCTTCCTTCGTGATCAGGTATGTTTATGCCTCAGAGAATCCCGACGGCGCCGACTGGAATTGAACCCAGGCCTTTTGGAGTGAGAGGCAGTCACGCTTACCACTACATCACCGGCGCCGCTACGCTGTTTCACCCGTCATTTTTCACAAGTTAAAAAAGTCGGAACGAGCACAGAGACGAAGGAACCTTTTCAACAGTGGCCTTGAAGTTCGGTAGCTAGGCAGAACTGCTGCCAGAAAAGTTAATTTTTTTTCGAAGTTCAAACAAATTCTTCACGCGTAACACCATAGAAAAAACTTATTTTTAGCCAAAATAGAGCATACATATCCCCTTGGCTCATTTTACTTGAAGGTGTTAATTTGTTTCTTCTATTGAATTATTGCATTTACGGTTCCAATCAGCTCGTATTTTATAATTAATAGTTTGTTAATTTTGCTGTGAATAATTTGATATCGTTTTAAACAGTTAAGCAACAGTAGTAATACTTTTAATATAAAAATACGATTAATTGTTGATATTTGTCTCACAATAAAAAGTTTTCGAACAGAGCATAGCTTTCGATGTCCAACTTATGCAAAATGCAGAACAAAAATATGATATGCACATTCATTCTATGTTATTTGAACTTTGGCGATCTTACATCGAGTTCTTTCTTGTATTTTTTGTTCAGAGCAATCCCAATGCATTTTGAGAGTAAACATCAAACGAAGTTTTAATAATTCTTCAGGTTTTTTTTTCCAATAAGGGCTCAAAACTCACTTGCACAAACCTGTATCACCTTTTTGAAATGGAAATTTTTACTTACCATTGAATAAAAGGTTGTTTTGCGTGGGTGAGTTTTGATTCATGATACATAATACATTGGCGGTTAAGTTTAATTTTTTGCAAAAGCAATAACTCTCCCATGAAAAAAATCTGAAGTTTGAGAATATAACTATGAAACCAGGAAACATCAGAGGCTAGTTTTTTCCTTTGCTTAGTTCTTTTGCTTACATGTCATATATGTACTAATTTAATCAATCAATTGTATAGTGGTTATGACTAGCTGCATGTTTGAGAACCTTTCTGCAACGCATGGACATGATTTTGCATTTCAAATTAATTATAAGTATAGTCGCTTTTATGATTATGTTACACAATTAGTAAGAACGACAGTCAGTTAGCAATAATTTCAACACATGCATCAGTTAGTAGTACATAACTCAAGTATCATGGAAATATTCTAAGTAGAAATTAATTGCTAACCTACTAGCGTAACTGGTTTTGCAATATTCATTTAAGGTCAAAATCATCTTCTTCGAATTTATTATTCCACTTCCCGCTGGCAGAGCTGGCCACAGATGAAGCGCTTTTCGGAGGGTCGTACGACCTGGGAAAGCTTCGGAATCGTTCAGTCACGTCAACATCTGCTTTTTCTGAAGAAACTGATAAGCTTTTAGTAAATGAACTGCGTTCGTCCTTTTTCCCATATATGTAGTCTGAATCTGACACACTGCTATTGAAGCTTGAACTGTCACGGCTACCGTACGACGTATACCGATTAAAAGCCGTTGGAGCCGCACTTCCCCCAGTCGTAGATGACGCTGACGGGGGACCACTAACTGCGCTAGTGCCGAAGATGGCCTCCGCATCTGACAATGAATCACTGCTTTGTTTCAAGTCTCGCCCCATATCAGCCACGCTGAAGCGAGGCTTGTAGAAATCTGGTCCTTTATCGCCGAAGATGAGTTCCGCATCAGACGATGATCGCTTTGTGCGACCGAATTCCTGTTTCTTGCTTTCACTGGAGTATGATGAGGTGGTCGGTATATTCGCCGCGTCCGCAGTTGCATTCGTTTGTGGACCGATGCGACCAGCTTGTGATTGATCCCTGATACCTTGCTGTATGTTGTAACGATCTTTCGCGTTATCATCTCCCTTATCGCTAGTGGTTATGTTAGAAGTACTGGAATAAGAGGAAGAAGATGCTGAAGCCTTTTCTGTTGGTGGCTGACTTACAGATGACGAAGGCAACGTTGTCGAGGAGACGTAGCTACTGTATCCGCCTGTAGTGCCAGATGTTGTTGTTATAGTAGTAAATGTACTAGAAGAGAATGAAGAACAAATGGCTGGAGCTGCTGTAGCTGCTCGACTAGCTGCTATCTTATCTTTATCGAATGGATTGATCCGCTCGTTGATTGCAGGATCGTATGCCACATGTTTCGTTTCTTGTGCACTGGACGTGTCCGTTGTAGATGATGATCCGGTCGCGGAGGCATGATTTTTCAATGTAGAATTTTTATCAAAAGAAGAAACACTGTCTACTCTATTGTTGTTACTGCTGTTATTTACACTATTGCTAACAGATGTTATGTTTTGCTGCAGTTGACCGGCCGTGCCATTGCTCAACGATGAATCCTTTTCCAATGCGATTGTGCCGATTGGACGATGAATTACGGTATCAATCGAATTTTCACGGGTACTCAGTACGCTACCGGTAGCACTGCCAGTTGTGCTTTCTCCTCCACGTTGTGGTTTCTTCTTTTTAGCTAAATCCTACATGTCTCCAAATATCCCAGCAAATGTTTTACGGAGATTTTTCATTGTATCCTCAGCTTCGTCCGCGACCGATGCCTGTCCAGGCACTGCAGCACCTTTGCTGGCAGCAGAACGAACTGCTGAAGCAGAAGAAACTCCTGATACAGAACTAGATTGCGATGCTGAAATGAGAGTTGAACAGAAAAATGTTTTGCGATTAATAATGAAAATTTATTAATATAATGTACACAGCAAAAAAATAATTTTGATATCACATCAAAGTGGATGCACTACAATCATGTCGAAAATTTCATGTAATTTTTATGACCACATAAATAAACAAATGCAGTAAAAGCAGCGTAATGTCAGTTCATGCATTGTATTAATGATAATTTTGTCCTTTTTAGCAAGTAATATTACACCATATTTTCGACATGATTGTAGTGCATCCACTTTGACGTGATATCAAAATTATTTTTTTGCTGTGTATGCATTGAAAGTTAATATAATGCGATCAGATCCCACGTTCAACGATGTACAGGTACACTGTATGTAAATTTCAACTGGGGTATAGATTTGGATCCAATTTTTGATCCAGTCGCTATTTGGTTAATTTTGAAGTTGGTTTTATGTTTAAAATGTGTACAAAATTACAGTTAAAACTTTTGTATTGATTTAGCACGGATAATGTTCAAAATGGCCTGCATAAGCGAATGAAGAATCTGTGACGAAGAATAAAAAGTCGTCAGTTGTCCTGTAGCCAGTAGCAAACATAATTTGGATACATCTGTATCAGTCATGCATATCACGGACCACAGCCAACTAAAGGGTGTACCGTTTAAAATCCGCACACACTCAAATTGCTCTAACTTTTGATCCGTTGGGTAAAATAATTGAAATTTTATGTAAACTAAGTTTAATATGTATTGTTTACACTCTGTGAATTGATTTCATCAGGTGCGAAAAAGTTTTCAAAATGGCGATGAAAGAACAGTGCGTGCGCGAAAATGTTTTGCATGAGTACTTTGAGAATAAGAATCTGCCGCATCGTGCCATCGGAAAAAAAAGTTGGGAATCGTGAATTCCACGGTGTCAAGTATCATAAAACGGTCAGAAAAACGTCTGACTGTTGATCGGAAGCGAAGATCCGGAAAAATGCCATCAGGTCAACGAGAACGAACACAAACGCGTGGTTCCCAAGTAACAATTTTGGTTTTATGAGGATTATGTAGACTTATAGAATGCTTTAAAACCTTGATAAAACTTGAAATGCTACTTGGGTTGGGTCCTTTAAACGGAAACCGAACGCCTCAGTTCGAGGTATGGCTAAAAAGTTGCATGTGAGCAAGACTTTCGTGCAGAATACCAAAACTCGTGCTGGACTACGTAGTTTTTAGGTTCAGAAGTCCCCAAACCGTGACGAGAAACATAATACGGTCGCAAAAAGCCGTGCCGGGAAGTTGTACGACCAGAAGTTAATGAAACCACACTGCTGCGTAATGGATGACGAGACGTATGTGAAGGCGGACTTCAACCAGATTCCAGGAAACCTGTATGTGACTGCCAAGGTTAAGTGTGATGTTCCCGAGAACCAAGTTCGCCAAGAAGTTCTTAATTTGGCAAGCGATTTGTACTTGCGGAAAGCGCAGTACACCGTTCGTTACCGCAAGCACCATGAATGGACAGGTGTATTTGAAAAAAATGTTTCTAAAAACGGTTTCTCCCTCTCCTGAAGGCTCACGACGGTCCGACGTATTTTTACCCGGTTTGTCATCATGCCACTACACGAGGGACGTGCTAGAGTAGTATAAGGCGAATGATGTCGATTTCATGCCGAAAGATCTGAACCCCCCAAACACATCGGAACTGCGCCCAATAGAAAAATACTAGGCCATTATGAAGAAGCACCTTCTAAAACGACCTAAAGTGGTGAAGAATGTAGAAGAAATGAAGAAAGGAGGGTTACTATGCAAAAAACTGTCGATTCTGGGGTCGTGCAGAACCTTATGGCTGGGGTTAAGGCCAAGGATCGCGCATTCGCATATAAGGGCGAAATAAATTTAATGGATGATGCCGAAACTAACTTTAATTGTATCTTTTTACTCCCTGAAAATTTGGTGATAATCGGATAAAAACTCGAATTTTGAGAATGAATTTTGTTTGTGCGGATTTTAAACGGTACACCCTTTACATCACGACATGGACTTGAGGAAATATCATCGACTACATCAATAACTTCAGCGTCATCTCAGGATAGTGGTGAGCAACATTTTTCCAGGACGCATAATATTGAGTTTTTCAACAAGGGCCTTGCTGGTACCAACGTTTTGCCAATATCGACAAAAAAGTTTTAGAATGTTAAGTATCCCCGCATTCGGAAACACATTTTCAGTTTTACTTGTTTAATTCACCGTTTGTTATCTTGTGCGGTTCAAATTTTGAACTGTCTCGAAACGATTATACATACATATTAGAGAAAGATTGCATTTTAACTATGTATTCAAAAGCTAAGTAGCTGTTTTTAAATGAACCATCAGCAAATTTTTTAAATTCAATAAAAAAGGGAATGCTAAAATGTTGATATATGTTTTTTGGTTCAATGTCACCCCCACTGATGGTACACAGCATTAGTTCAAACTATAATGGTGGTAAGCTACAACTCGGATTAACTTTTAATACTGTCCCTATTTGGATGCTCTGCAAAATGTTTGCTTAGGGTCGTATTGATTGTCGACATCAAAGCAGCATGATCGGGAATTAATCCGAGGATAATACCGGTTGGAGCTTACCACCTTGAAAGATTTAATAGATACAGGTATGCAAAAATAATAAATTCTCAAACATTCTTTCTAACATCACGTTATTCTAATGTTGTGCATATGTTCCTAAGCGGACCTCTCGTCTTATTTTCAATATCTAGTGATTTGGTAAACCAATTGGTAACGTATCACGAAAAGCTTATCTACATGTTACGGAGCTACTGAAGTGTTATATAAGTGATACTTTCCACTATGGAAGATTGTTTTTTGTAAATTAATTTATTTTTACAGGCTGAATCGAATAAATTTTACAGAGCCAAGTCATCATTTGCGTTATACGTTATTGTTGTCTTAAATCTAATGTTAAAGGAATTGAACTGCATACCCGCGGCCTTCTCGTTGTTATTGGGGATTTACAATTTTATGGATGGGGAGAGGGAGAAAGAGATTTGAAATATGATATATGATACCAAAATTTCACTATTCCTAAAAGTGATTGGACATGAGGCGATACATCACACGTAAGAAGTCTCGGTCTACTTCCAACCCTTTGAACCAAGGATTCTGACACCATAGGGATGATCGAATATAGCCATCGTCCTAAACTCCATTAACTCCATTCATTTTACCAGCTGGTGAGCGACTGTTGACGATAAATGAATAAAAATTCATCGTAGGCTCGTAAAAATCGCCTTCCATAGCGCCCACCTTAGCAAGTGAGTCCGCAATATCATTGCCCGTAATCGAGGAATGAGAAAACCAGCGGACGCCTCTATTAATGATCCATCTGTGAAGAACGATCTAGCGGAATCAAATTGGTCAAACTTTGCAGTGTAAATTGACGGAGCAATCATGGAGAGATGATGCTATGGGATCTCACGAATCTCCCGCTTAATAGACAAATCAAATTGAACAGAATTGCCGAAGTCGGAGAAGCCAACGCGATTGGGATTATGCGAAGGACTGATTTACGTCAACGAAATTGACGATTGTCTTAGAAACAACTCGACAGTGAGCATGCATAAGGGCGAATACGCGATGATCGATTCTCTTCATCGATTTTCTCTTTGCATTGCTACAGCTAAGCGAAACAATTTTCTAGAATTTGTTCAATGCAGAGTAGTAACAGGTTGTATTGGCTATCAAAAGCAACAGCAAACGCACCGAGAAACGTTAAATCTAGCGAGTTATTAACAAAAGAGAAAATCGACGAAGAGAATCGATCATCGCGTATAGGCCCTTATGCATGCTCACTGTCGAACTGTACGTTGCAACAAATTGCAGATGATGGCGTAGTGTCTATCACAGGGCCCAAAGGGGTCGACCTGCAAGGACTCTTACAGGATACCTTAGACAATGTGTCTACTTGGGCTATTTAGCTAGGTATCGAATTCTCCACGGCGAAAACTGAGTTGGTCGTTTTTTCTAGGAAGCATAGCCCAGCACAACCGAAGCTTCAAGAGAGAGAGAAGGATTAGTAATTTCCATTTAATTCCACTACCTTATTTGCTTTTCCCTGACAGACACGCGTATTTCGTCTACAATGTGCAGACTTCTTCAGTGTGTTGTACTAATACTCAACTGAATCAGTTTGTAGTTTTATCACATAATAAGAAAGTAGATTTGAAGAATTGTGGATAGCGTTGTTATCTCAAAATTGACTATACCCCATATGGGACTGATATGTAATTCTAGGCAGTATACTGCTCATAAAAGAATATCAGTTACATCTGAAAAAAAAACAGCAAACCAAGAAAAACGGTAGTTTGGTACTTTTCACGATATTTTCTGAACTATTGTGACTTTTAGTAGACAGTGTAAAATGTCGGTAGTTTACAATCAATTCTAATGGATAACTCATTTCTGACAAAAATCCATATAGGACTGTTATGCTTTTATGGGCAGTATAATCCTTCACTTTAGTAACGTCAACCCCCATGTCCGACGGGAGGGACGTCTGAGACAAAGTTGTAAGAAAAAATAAATTCTTTCTTGGAAAAAATATACACGGTATTTTTTTTTAGTAATTTTGGAAAGAATGTGTAAAACATTTAAATAACAAAATATGTCCTTGATCAATATGTTTGCACTTTTTTTAAAAAACTCATGAAAAATGCAAATTTTTTGGATTTTTTCTCAAAGTTGCAAAGTAAAATTTACCGTGTATATTGTAGCTACAGAAAGACTTTATTTTTCTCTACAACTTTGTCCCAGACGACATATCGATTTTCGTGCTACGATTTATTTAAAATTGACGATCACTGCACACAAAATGCTTGGTTCAAAATGGCCACAAATTTAAATGATTGCCCAAAACTATCAATTATGCAAAGTTTCATGCAAATCGGAGAAGGTCGAGTAATCAATAATATATATTTTTTAATTTGAGCGAATACATACCTTGCGAATCTCGTCTTCCTAAACTGTTCAAAGCCGGAGCCTTTTCAGAAGGCTGCTCAGGGGGCTCTCCAGATTGGCTACTGATGCTACCGTGGCGACCTATTGAGCCAACGCCCGGTGTTGTGCGCTCAGGGATAGGTGGAGGACCACCTCCAACTGGGGCCGGTCTTATTCCGATTGGAACTGGAGGGGTTTCCTCAGTAGGACTACCCCCACGCGATGAGATAGAAGTGCGTGAAGTGGCTTTTGTCATCATCGACGGGCGGCATACGTTCTGTAATAAACACAAACGGTTACAGTACACTTCAAGCTTTTTCGGCATACTTTTATATTCCAAAGTACCTGCATTCGTCCGACAACTAGATCAGCAATGTGTCGGCGATCCTCCTCTTGAGTATCACCCATCAAAGGGAAGGTAGAATCGGATGCGCTTATGATAAACTCTTTTCCTTCCTTGGAAACGATCACCGCAATGCCGCAAACCTCCATGCCACCAAACAATTCCGAGACCTACGGGAGATGCAGAGTGTGAAAGGAGCAGTTTATAGCATCTGACGAAATAAAAATCAAAACATGTTTAAATATCAATAAAAAGAAATTATTTATATTCCTGCTGCGATCAGCTTCTATAGAAGTCGATCGGAGATAGTGTTGCATATAATGACCGATTAATGATTAACTTCGTCCGATGACCATACAGTCTCACAGAGTCTCACTTAGCTAAGCATGTCTCATGTAAGAGGGCACGAGAAAGATCAGCCAATGACATATGAATGGATAGATGGGAATATACGAGCTAGCTGTGTCGTTCTTTAATATAAACCGTCCAATGAACTGTTTGCAGTTGTTCGGAAGCAGCTAGCCACCACACGTGATATAAATCTTCGTGGGTGGACTAATGCATCCGTTGCTTAGCTTCGTCAAGCTTTATTCTAAGAATTTGTTGTTTTCATATCTGATTTTAATTTCCGCCTCATGTTCTCGAGTGCACTTACTGAAACTTCGTCATCGTTTTAATACAATTACGTACTTTCGTGTACACCAGTCCCTAATGTTGTGGTTTGTTCTGTGTTATTGTTGATGATGATTATGATGGTCCCACCTCTACAAAGCTTTTAGCTGGACGCTTTATCTTTAAGATAATTAAACATAACATCTTAACCAGATTAGCAAACAAAAATTAACTGGTTACAGTCATAGATATAAATTTTCTCTGTTACAGTAATGAAAATAAAATCACCATGATAACTAGTACGAAACTATTTCTGCGAATGGTTCAGTGCATGTATACCAGCATAGGAAAAACCTTATTAAAAATATGCCAAGTTCCTAATTTGAGTGAAATTGATTCCAATAGGCGCAAACCAGATAATGCGTCATTGATTGAGTCATCTGTTTCGTCGTTGCCAGACCACCAGATCCGCAATAATAATAATAATATTCCAATGGTGTCTTGTTTCACTTTAAATACATTCTCTGATCACATGCGTTTGCTGGCGTTTTCAGTCGTACGTATATAATCTATCAATGATGACATGCCTGCGGGATGAGGAGTGGTGAATGATTCCTAACATCACCACTGTATTGTTTATGTTTTACGCTGTTTTCGCGGGTTTAAACTGTTATTTGGTGCTTGCCGTGTGTGAAAAGTGATTGATAAACGGCCGGTAGAAGAATTAATGTCGATGACTGACCACGAACTCGTCTGTGTTACCTGCTCTTACTCATGAACGCCAACGCAGAATGCACAATGTTATACACGTAAAAGTGATGACAACTTCCGCGATTGATCTGTGGGAGTAATTTGGAATTCTAAGTTGATTTCTAAGTCTTTTGGAATGTTTGTTTTCCTTTTAATGCATTGCCCCAGTAGTTGTCCTTTGGCATTCTTCAAAAATAGCGTGCTCAACAGACACCGTGTTTATTCAGATGCGAGTTCCAACACCAACAAATCAACATGAATGGCCATAGAAGTTTCCTTGAAATTTCCCCGTGATATCAGAAAATGTATAGCTAAGGCACGAACACGGGTATAAAATTAATGTCTGATATATGTAGTCTGTCGATTTATCGCTGTTTCCAATGTCTATACCTGATCACGTTAGCTCTATTGGAGCAATTCTATCGAAATTGGAAATGATGTCCAGCAATCGTACCTCTCGGCATCTAGCTCAATTTTATAATATGGATTCAGTCTGCATGGCTTAACGCAAATCAATCCCTCTGGCAATAGAAATATGTACTCGTATTCCTGATTTTGTGCTAGCTAATGACAATATCATACGTGAAAGTATTGTTTCTAATGATGCTAAACCATTGATCGACCGATTGTAATCATCTTGCCCTTGAGGTTACCGTTCAACTGCTGCTCCCTACAGTATTCGAGGATGTGGATGTCCCTGCAAAGCTTAGAATTTCATCGTGCTGATTACACAACATTGCGTGAGACAATCTTTGATATTGATTGGAAGACTTTGGAGATGGTAGCCTGTGGATTATTTCAACAAAAAAGTTAATCAAGTCAGTATCTGCTGTGTTCTTCCAATTCTCGTTTACAACAGTTGAAACCAATAAGTTCACATGCTCTACGAAATTTTTGCCGTTCCCATTGTACGTGTTTAAAGCGCGTATTCACGCAAGCGAGTCACAGTTATCAACCCGAAGCGGATTTTTGATTTCTCGTCAAATATTGTAGAAATGGTTTCTGTGATCTAAGAAACACCTTATTCCAAATACACCTATCCTAATGTGCGGTTTAAAGGCTTGGGCTTAAGTCGTGACTTCATTCGCGTGATGAGTAGACTTATGTCCAACCACTACTCGCTAGATGCGCATCTCAATAGAATAAACATCGTGGACAGCAACATCTGTCGGTGTGGAAACGGTTACGATTACATCGATCACGCAGTTTGGCAATGTACGGATAATGACGCCGCCAGAGAGCGATTTTTGAATACCCTCGAGACCCAAGGAAGACAACCCTATATCCCTATCAGAGACGTGTTGGGTACCCGTGATCTCTACTATATGCAGTCGATTTATATGTTTCTGCAAATGTCTAGCATAAGAATTTAATTCGTTTGTCTTTTGTATCTCTTTATTAGTTTTTGTTTGTCTTGTCCCCCGTCTCGATGAGTATCATCGTCGCCCACTGGTCACCATAGCCGATCGAACTCCAGACGAATCTAGAATCACACTACCGTTCACACTGGCGACATCGCTCTGATGAGACAACGAAACCCTACCCTCAAACTCCTCCCCTTTTCCTATCCTTCGAAAATGTACCCCTCCAACCTCGGGTAAGCCACAAGTATTCGGCTAAACTCCTACTGGACATAGAATTAAGTTAAAAACAAAGAACAATGAATTATCGGCTCCGTAAAGCTTACGCGATTGGGCCTTACAAATAAACGAACTAGATAAAAAAATAATCGGTTCATTACGGTATATGTAGGTATGAATGTTTAACCAATTTGTGGGCCAACATTCAAATAAACCATTTTCAAAGCTGCTAGTCTAGATATTTCCTCACAGATGGCAACCCCCTCCGTGGTAGTCATGTTTTTCCAGTATGGGGAAAATCGTTAATTAATTAAATTTTGAGTAGCTAGGCACCTGCAAAACGGGTACCACCAAAAGAAGCTTAAACATTATCCGCTTTTGCCAGTAGATACATATGTACATGATTGGGATAAGAGCCGCAGTCAAGGGCGTAGCCAGGTTTTGAGCTAGGGAGGTGTGCAAAAAAAAATACTATGGAAAATTTGGCCGAATGCCATTTTACCGAACGCCATTCCCCCTCTGGCTACGCCTATGGCCGCAGTTTTTGAGTAAACGCGCAAAACGAAACATGTCCATAATTCTCAGATTCATAACTACCAAGCCCATACTGTTCAAGGTATGTGGCCACCTAAATGTGCATAAGCGGCTTCCGTCGGTTGATTGTATAAAACCGCCAATGTCATTAATTTTCAATTACTTTTCTTTGAGTGGATTATTTATGTATGGAGCAGGCCGTAGTACAACCAAATAATTTATATTGTCCAACCAACAGAAAATAGCAAACTAAATGCACTTACCTCATCGATCCATGACTTGTACTTCTCAGTCATGGGAATTTGTTCGAGCATCGCTGAGCCCTGATTGGTTTTCCAATTTCCAGAAATGGATTTTCTCCTGTACAATAAACCATAACATTCAAACTTTTACATACGGTGGGACATTATTCGTGTAATGGGCTTACATGAATGCCTTGTAACTGGTGCCAATCTTTTGAATGTGCACATCGAACTTGGCATCGATGTACGGTTCTAGGCTGCAGTAGGAAGTGCTATCGGATAGACCGGTACCGTACAGCAGTCCAGCGGCGTCCTGTAGAGCCCCGGGATTGTCAAGTTTAGCCGTTGCCTTGCCACCGTGACAGTGGCCAGCTTTCAGAACACACGGATACCGTTGCCAGGCGAGCTGTAAGAAATTATGTAATGACAATTTTAAATTAGTGTAACGTGTCGTCTGTGGTGCAATTGGGCTAATAAAATTAGATAAGTTATATTATGAAAAATTATCTATTTCATAATAATCGTAGCTATTGTTATGCTTAAATACGAAAAATAAATTTACTTGATTCGGAAATCTGGTGACTATTATCATCATAATAAAGCCTAGACATTTAATCGTAAATGACTATAGATTTATTTAAAATGAAAATGAATTTCAACACATGATGGATACTTAAATCGTATAAAATGTATTTTTTTAGACGATTTATTCCTTTTGTATAGAAGGTGCGTTAAAGAGCTCGGCACGGTCGGTGTAACTATTTTTGTAAAAAATAAGTGTTTTCGATCGAAATTGATACCGAAAGTGAACCAAAAGTGCTTTTGAACGTGTGTCTCAGTTGTGTGTGGTAAATTCGTGCATTCCCGGTTGATTTTCAGTGAAAATTCCGTATAAAAAAATTGCTAATCGAGTTCTTTTCGAATTTTTGCGAGAGTGACGTTTATAGGATCCGTTTCTTTGTACGGGTGTGGTTTTTGTAATTAGCGGTGTGTAAGTGTGTTTGTGATTTTCCTTGCCTCACGGGAGGGTTCACCGTGTTTGGATGTCACGCTTTCGGCGTGTAGTTCTATCGAGAGTCCGGTTGGTAAATTAGCCGGGGAAAGTGCTGATAATGTGTCCGTCGAAAGTTTTGGTGGTGATTCGATGTTGCCGTGAATCAGCGAGATTACGACTTGCAAAAGTGCTCGTCTCCTGGTATCTCGCCAGTGTCGGAGATTGTGAGCAAGCAGTAGCTGGTGGCCGTGAACGGTTCCTGGGGAAAGCACTAGACGCGAACCTGCTCCCAGATGACCATGGCAATGCAAGAAAATTTGTTTTCGTTGAAGGAAGTATTACAACAAAGGTGGCATACAGTGACAGATAGCAAACATGAAGCTCAAGTGGAGGTGCCGGGCAAAGGTCTTATATCCTAGACAAATGGTAAGTTACAAATTCGCTGTTGTATTTGCCGTCGTAGTCACTGAGGTAATCGCCGTCGTAGTCGTTGTAGACAGTACCGTTAGTATATTTAAAATCAACCATCAGCCGCTAAAACTATATGAATTATCGCATATTTCTGTTGTTCATTACATACCAAGTGAAATTCGAGAACGTAATTTCATTTTAATAGCTTGTTTAACCAGGGCTTAAAGAATCGTCACGTCAGTCATAGCTTGTTATGATTGCCTGAAACATGCGTAAAGAACAAATCGAAACATTGAACGTCGCGTGAAAGTGGAACTTAATGAAGGCCTAAGTACTCTTTCGTAGCTTTTAGTTTTAGGATTTGAAGATAATCCTGCGGCTTACTGACCAGAAAAACACGGTCCCAGGTCCTTTCATATTAAAAATGTATGGTAAGATCGCTTTTTTATCGTGTATTTTGTAAAACTTTTCGTTGTCGTCGGTGCCGGGTTTGAATAGTTATAACAACTTGAGTAACGGTATAATGTGATATGAGGGGCTCAGTGGCCTTAGAGCAACCGTTTTTGCTTACTGAGCAGAACATCATGAGTCTAATCTCAAGCCCATCCACATTCAAGATTCGTCAATCGTTTTATTTGTTAGCATGACTACATGGTAATAACAGCAACTCGATGATTAAAAAGGAGCTCGTTTGCCTAGTGGCAAACGTTTTTGCTTACTGAGCAGAAGATCGTGGGATCAATCCCAAGCTCCTTCGCGTTATATGATCGTTAGGACATCAATTCAGCTTATCGTTTTCCAAAACGAACCCTTCTGCAAACCCAACATCCCTGTGATTCCTCGTGGAAGTGCAGATGACTCCTCGGCATCCATCAAAGCGAGTGTCACGTCAACACATTCCTACCCATTCCATTCTTGACCTGCGTTCAGGCGCGGCTGGCGCAGGTATTGCCTAATTTGAGATCACCAGTTTTTACACATTGAAGATGATTGCTAGTCCCAAGCATCGTCTATTGGTTCTCTGTGTAATTACAGCTGGCCTGGCAACAACAGAGTAGCAACCGTGGGCGGTCAATCATGCTCATGCTCATGTGCATGTTCATGCTCATAGACGATTTATTCCTTTTGAATAGTAAATTACAAAAGTAATTAATAAATTCCTTATGTTTGGTAATCTCTTCTTTACTCGATATTCAAGGCACTGTAACCGTTTGGTCACAAGTTCATATGTTTTTGTCATTTATGTTATATTTTCAGAACCTTCACTTTTCTTGTGCAAGAACAGCAGTATACTACAGAAGTGAAAGGGTTCTGTACCGCTGTGAAAATTTTGTGCCGTTTCGTTATGTCCACCATAGAACTACAAACAACCATATAAAACTAGGATGACGGCATGAAGGAAAATTGGGAGAAAGAACGGCCATTGCCCAAAATTGGCATCTTTTAATATCAGGCGTCCGTGTGCTAAGACGCATTTTAATTAGCTAAGTGCAGTGGTTGGTGTTTTTGAACGAGAACCAGGACCCCCCTGCAGCAGCTAGTGTACGCTAGGGAAATTTAACGTTCAGGTAACTAAATACCCTGCACCAAAAACCGTAAATCTATTACGTATTCGTCCGATAGGACCTCTTTTATGTTGGACCTTAAAAAGGTCATCCGTCAGCACACGGCCGGCTCGTGAAATTGGAAACAGTTTCCGACCCTAATTGTCAAGGACCAAACACTATTATCTGGCCAAACATAGGCCATAATCCCAAAGAAGTTTTCTCTTCTCGGCTTGACCAAGGTCGGCCGATCATGCCAACGAAGGACGACGCCTGCCATCCCACCGTCCAGAAACGCCCGCTGGCTCGGCATCCGCTTACTTCGCCAATCTGGCGAGAGTTCCGGCCGCACAGTAGGACAGGAGTCACTGTGTCGGCCATCCCGATTCACCATCAACGACAGCAGCAGTATGTACCGGTACAGTGAACAACGCGATTAGGCTACACGACACATATTACACGAAATTATGAACACAGAATAACACGCACATAATACACACAGTTCGAAACATTAGTGTAAATTTCTGTTTAGTATGATGCACATAAATGGAGCGTCACATATCATATAAGTTTACATTATATATCATGAAAAGTTCTGAGACACTTCATGCAATGTAGCAAATATTGTATACACAAGCCCATTGTTGTAAACACCATTGTTTACAAGTTGCTCGGTTGCGTGAAATGAAATACAAGTTTACGTGAATCAATGTTTACATCACTGTTAAAATTCAGAATTTGTATCTGTGCAGAAAGAGGCGAATAAATACATTGACAGATAAGTGAAAGTTCTTCGTTTTTGTATCGCAAAACCTTCTGATAGCCCGGTAGCTAGCCGACCCTGGGTGTTCTGGAGCTTGCTCTTGTCGCCTGAGTGAACCGGGTGCTGTATGTTTGATCTTCGAGTAGGTAGTTGGTGAGTGCTGAGTTCTTACATCAGTTATAGCACTATTGACCTTAAAGAGGTATTGAGTCACAGAACACCTTAAAAAAATCACAATTTCTATTTCCCTCATAATAGCCAACAACTTAATAGTCTTCAAACGAAAATGGAAGTAATATTTGATGTCTTATTCGTTAATTTGTCGAGGTGAGTAGGGGAATTTACGTATTCTCGGCAACCTAAGCAGCGACCTTCTTTCTATAGCCTTTTTCTCTAAGGAACGCACACATATGCAGTATTGGTTTGTTTACAATCTATTGCTGCCAGCTGCTCTAACAATTTCAGTCGAAAGAATTGTCAAAAACTGTTTTAAAACGCTTTTACAAAGCTCCAATCTTCTCTAGTGAGAGCGAGTATTGTCGGCAACCAGTTTTTCTTCGGCAACCGTTCCATTTGAACTGCATGTAAATCTGCTGTTCTATTATCGGCAACTCGAAATCAGCTACAATTTGTAGTGCGTGTGTTTCATTTCAAGAAAACCTTGCTAGATTGCATTTTCTCAGTGGTAAAAATATAGTCAAATTGAAGCTGAAAGCATGAAGAATCGTTTGCATGCATTCTGCGAAGTATTTTCGTAAGAAAATCCAGTGAAAATAGTGTTTCAATTTGGGTTGCCGAAAATAGTCTGGCATGCCGGAGCCGTCATTTCCCCTATATAATATATATTTTATTTTTAATTATAGTCACTTTAACACTCTTGGGTCATTCGTGACTAGTCCGGGGATGATATTTGAACTCGTAACTTAGGTGTGAAAGGTTTGAATGATAACCACTACACCAGACCCGTCTCCAAGGTGAATATTTGTCTATGGCATAACAAATTCCATAAGTTTTAAACCTAATTTATTTTTAGTAGATCAGAAATTAAGTTCAATTTTGGATCCTAATTATCAGTTTTCCTGTTATGGCTCAACTCCACATAACAAAGTTCGATAATTTTTGTGTCTGAACGTTTGGCGCTCGAAATGGCCACAGGTGATTATATTTTTGAATTCCTCCCTGGGGCAAGCTTTGTTTTCGGGAATTTATTTATTGCGTCAATCATACATACCAGTGCTGATAAAAATCATTTGTACTACACTCAATTTAGCTGAAAATGAAAATAATCTTAGCAGATAGACTAACTACCTGCATGAATTTGAATTTTGACATTCTTTTGATCAAGGCAACCTCTGAGTATCGAAGTCAACATTCGTGTTTCTTCATTCTTGGCTGGATGTTCATTATCGCCTCTGTTCTTGTCAATATTATTTGATGATTTTGAGGATCAAATGCAAAATGATTATTTTCATTTTACACAAATATAGCGCTGAAGAACGTGTCGTGTTGGGTTTTACACACAAATCGATGGCAAATTATCACCTCAAGCTGAAATGATGATAACATCGAGTTTCTAGGCTCTGGGGTCGACAATATTCAAAACAATCACTTTGTCCAAACTAAATTTGATTATTTAGGTTTTGAGGATCGTTTCTGATTTTGCAAATTTTGGGTTGGATAATCAAGCACTGGTG